ATGAATGGTTAAATACATGTTGAAGATTATAAGAGTATTGTAAATAAGAACATTTATTTTAATTGTTTAAACATTTACCCACTGAGTTTACTTAGTAAACTCAACCCACGAGTTTAAATGTTTCAGGTAAGTTCTTAAAGAAGAAATGGCTGAAAGAGAAGAATATGTTTATAGAAGACGACGTGCACATATCAAGAGGTAATTTATATTTTGTGTTTAATGGCTCTTTAGCAAATGAAGTAGTATAATATTTAAGAAATTTTATCGTCCGACTTTTCGAACCCGCCTCGTTAGATCGAGCATCCGGGCCGGGTCGTGACATAAGGTAGGTATGCTTGATTATTGTTCTCTTGGAGTCTCTTGGGTGCCTTGGGCTCTAGACTTGGTGTCTAGAGATTGAGAGAGGACGATCCTCCTCTCGAACAGAGGATCAATTGTATATTGTTTTATGTTTGCTTTGCTTTATCTTATATAATCAAATATATTGTTTTGAGTTGATTTCATTAGTATTCCTGTGTTCTTTCTCACTGTTTTACCAATTCATTGTTAGGGTTGTTTGCGAGCTCAAGTATTTCCGATAAGATTACTTGCGAACCCAAGTATTTCCTATCAGATTGTTACTGAATTTACACCCCATAGTGCAGACTGAGCTCTTCCTGAATTGATTAAAGAACTACCCCAACAAATTCAAGATATTGGCCCATTTGAATTGCCTTCTAACTTGCCACCATTGCGTGCCTTACAACACCAAATAGACCTCACAACTGGAACAATGTTGCCAAATCTTCCACATTACAAAACAATCTAAGAAACACAATATTTTACAAGACTTGGTTGATGAATTCTTGGAGAAGCAACTACTTCAACCTAGCTTAAGTCCTTGCGATTTCCCGATATTATTTGTCCATAAAAAGGATAGTAATTGACAAATGTGTATTGACGTAGGGTAATCAACAAAATCACTACCAAATTTTGATTCCCAATGTTGAGGATAGAAGTGATGAGGACATCGTCAGAGATTGCGACACATGTACCATCAGGAGATGCCGGAGATCGATGACTACGATCATGATCTTTATTTTCATCATTTTATGTAGTAGTATATTTGTTTTGTATGTTTTTCCGTTTTTGCCCTTAGGGGTATTTGGTCGTTAATGTAGCCCGAGGGGCATTTTAGTCTTTTGTTTTTCTTTGTCATTGTGAGGCCTATTTATATGGCCATTCTCTTGTAATAATTTAGTTTTTGAGGAAATGAAAAGTTTACTACTATGTGTTCTCTTAGTGAGTGCTCTGAACTTGATCTCCGCAACGATTATCATCAAGTTTGTATAATACACGGAGACGAATGGAAAACAATATTTAAAACTTGTCAGGTACCCTATAAATGGAAAGTTATGCCTTCCGGGCTGTGTAACACTCTGGCGACATTCATGCGGCTCATGAATGAGGTACTTAAGGAATAACTTGGAAAATTGTGTTGTTTACTTCAACAACATACTTGTTTTTAGTCAGTCACTCGAAACACATCCTTTTGATTTTTCAAACTTTGCAAGAACACAAGTTGTAAATACAACTTACTAAGTGTGAATTTTCTACTACTCGAGTGTATTTCTTTGGATTTAACATTTATGCTAAAGGAATAGAGGCTGACCACCGCAAAGTGTCAACCATCATGAAGTGGCGAGTTCCACTCTCCTTGATGTTAGAAGCTTCCACAGGCTGGCCAAATTTTATGACCGCTTCATTCGTAGATTTAGTGTTATTATGGCTCCCATAACAGATTGTCTCAAGTCTAAACAATTCCATTGGTCTACCAAATAGTAGAGGAGTTTGGAAGGTGGCATTAAGTACAATTTCTATGTTGGACTTGCCAAACTTCGATATACCTTTCTAAGTAGACACAAATGCTTTAGCTATGGGTGTTGGTGCAATTCTGACTCAACAAGACCGACTGATCAAATACTTCAGTGAGAAAGTTGAGTTCGACAAGACAAAAGTGGTCAGTTTATGAACAAGAGTTATATGTAGTGGTTAGAGCTTTTAAATATTGGGAGCACTATGTAATATATCAGGATTTTGTGTTATTCAATGACCACCATGCACTACAATTAATTAACAACTAGAAAAATATTAATTAGATGCATCTTAGGTGGATTCTCTTCCTGCGAGGTTTACCTTTGTGTTAAAATACAAATCGGCCAGTCAAAATCGCGTCGTTAATGCTCTTAGCAATCTTGCACCTATCCTCACTCAGCTCCAAATTGAAATAATTGGTTAATGTTTCCAAAAACTTTATCCATCTGAGAAGGACTGCTTAAGTTTGGAATTAATGCCCAAGAAGTCATCCAACAACATATTTTTCCATTCAACATGAATTTTTGTTTAAAGGCAAGGTTTTTCGCATTTTTATTCTTCATGGAGACACCAACTTATGAAGGAAGCTCATGGGGGTCGTCATGCTGCACACTTGGGGCGTAAAAGACTCTGCTTCAGCCACAAGCTCAATTTTTTTGGCCTAAGTTATATAGAGATTTTGTTTGGTGGAACGTGTTCTATTTGCCAAGAGTTCAAGGGTACTTACCAAAATACTAGACTTTATATACCCCCTTTTACTTCCTAGTCCCTAAATTTATATGGGATGACATTAGAATCGATTTCAGTTTAAGTTTTCCATGAACAAAGAGAGGTGATGACTCTATCTTGGTGATTGTAGGCAGATTTTCTAAAATGCCGCACATTATTGCTTGTAAAAGAAGCTTCAAAGTTGTAAAAATCGTTAGCCAATATTTCCAAGAAATTGTTCGACTTCATGGCTTGCCATGTAACATCACTTCCGACTGAGACACCAAGTTTATTAGTCATTTTTTGGTGAAAACTATGGAGGCTCCCACATAAATCAACCTTAGCTCTGTCTACCATTCACCATCTGATGGCTAGACTGAAGCGGTGAACCACACCTTAGGTAACATGCTATGCTGTCTTATGCAGAATCATTCAAAGTAATGGGAAGTCAATCCCAGTCAAGATGAATTTGCTTAGAATTCTATAAAAAATCGCTCTACTAGTTGTTGTCCCTTTAACATTGTCTATACAAAAGTCCAAAATCAAATTTTGATATTGCGAAATGTCTTAACAAATCAACTGTCAACTTAATAGACCACTATAATTCCATTATAGAGGAAGTTCGGATCAAACTGATTAGCTCTAATGCACATTACAAAGAAATGCCAGACAAACATCACCAACAAAAATCATTTAATGCTGGAAACCTAGTTATGATCTAGCTACGCAAAGAGTGATTTCCTATTGACACCAATTCTAAATAAAGTCCTCGCAAATTCAGCCCCGTTCCTATCATCAAATGCATAAGTGACAATGCTTACATCGTTGATCTCCCGGTGTATATTCACACTTTGCCAACCTTCAATATTTTTAGATATATACTCTTACCACCACGACGTCTAACATAGAGATAGTCCAAGAACCTTCCAATGACGAAGGAACCTGATAAGAAACACTTTAAGATTTAAAGTAATTCCTATCAATGTCAGAAAAACAAAGAGAAAACTTTTCCGACAATAAAAAAAAAACAATAATTTTTATTGCATTAAATCAAAAAGATACGACGGAAAAATACCAAGATACAATTGATCCTCTATTCGAGAGGATCTTTCTCTCCCAAATCTCTAGGCGCCGCTAGAGCCCAAAGAAACTAAGAGATCTCAAATTTCAGCCAAATGTTCCCTAGGAAAACAAATTATTTAATGCATACAATCCAAAAGAAAATCTCTAAACAGTTCCTACACTCAAGTTTCCCTCCTAACTCAATAAAAAATCCTTCCTAAATAGTTTTTTGGATCCTGCGGCTTGTGCGGCTCGCACAGGAGGCAGAAGAGTTCCGCCTCCGTTACGTTGAGCTGGTCCCATATGGACCGGCTGGACCGATCAATTGGACCGATCTACCAGAACCTGGTTTATTATAACATTGAGGAACCACTTACCCATATTCCGCAAACCATTCCTGCTCCACTTCGCCTTTTTACTATTATTGATGTAGAGCGAAAAACGGCTTTGCTATGGAAGATGGACAAACTCCAAATGTCTCCCAAAATCTGAAAATATTCCTAAGTTTTTTTTTTTATTATTCAAAACCAGAGAAATTCAAATGTCAGCCTGCTCTTGAAGAGGAAGCACACTCCAACCCTTGTTAATGAGATCTGGAAAATAACTTCAGCTATTTTTGTTTCCAAAAGCTGCTTGGAAAATTCGGATACCTAGGCTTAGGAATTAATGACTTGGGGGATCTTTAAGGCTCCAAATCAATTCCTGTAATAGCATAGGAAGGAGTGGGGAATTATCCGTGGAGGGAAAATGATGGCATACCTAATTAATGGGTTTAATTAGGAATGAATAGTTAACGTCAGGAGGCCTAATGTGAATTCAAACGGGAATTGATTTAGGGACTTGATTGGAAATCATAAATGGAAGGAAATAAAGAGGAGGGAGACGGGTGGGAAAGGAGCTCACGGGATTGAGAGGGAGTGAATGCTTTAGAAAAATTGATTCCAGCAAGGAGCCACGGGCTGTTATTTCCTAATTCTCATATCTAGTATTATGAAATAAAATTAGAGCCTAGGTGTGAAGGAAGATATGGAATTGTTTCAATTAGATAGGGTGGGTTTTAGGAAATAATTCCAAAAGTGTGAAGTTGTGAACAACTTATTTCCCAAACCAATTTCTAAATACATTTGAACAATGTAAGGAGAATTTCAGGACTAGTTTTCAACTTGTAGAGTTGCAATTCTGTCACTGTTATCCAAGAATCTTATCTGTTGTCAATTTATCAAAATACCATAATGCTATAGGGTATAGAGAAACAGAAGAATATTTATCAGCACTTCAGAACAAACAAATCCAAAAAAAAAAAAAGGTTTTAAAAATTAAACAATAAGGGACATCAACTGAATCTCATTGAATATAAAGAAGGGAAAGGATCAAACCTGCCCAACTGCCTCTCTTTCACAGTACTCTTTAATAACACCATTTGCCTGAATGGCACGAGGATTTCTTCTTCTCTGTGCAGTTGCTTTGTTATTTATGATATCTAAGCATTTGACAAAACTGGCACCAATGCCATCTACTGTCAACGAAACAAAATCTAACGCCCCACTTAGCGGCTGGACAACAACTCCAAGAAAAGCACGTCCAATTCCATGAGCAAGTCCTAAAAACCCATGTTGTCTAGCATTCTCAACAGGCTTTGTCAACACCCCTGTCACACCAAAAGCTACACCCTGTGCAAAAGCTTCAGTTCCTTGAAGAAATCCATCACCAAAACCAGTTATCCTCCTTGACCAAACCTGCACCAACGTTAGAATGAAATTCTACAGAAGAGCATAAGTGGAATTGCATCAAAAGAGAGTTTCAACCTGTTTTGAGCGCAACTGCAAAAACTGTCGATCTGTTGAAAGCTCTGCAAATCCTTTACTGAGAGAGGCCAAAGTTGATTTTGTCATGCTCAATACGTCCACAGAGAATATTATATGTAAAGGGTTGTGAATAAGGTCTCTCTTGACACGATTCACAATAGAAGGAAGAATGGAGCTTTTCCTCATGAACCGACTTCGATGCATGACTTTCCTTAAATGAAGCTGATAAAAACAAAAAGGACAGCAATTCATGAGGATGACATATGAATGTATATGCATGCATACACATATTATTATTATTATTATTTTTTTATGCATACACATATAATATACATTTAATATGCATTTATATAAGAATTAAATCATATCTAAGTTTGTACAAGTATTAAATCATATCTGAGATATTAGGACTGAAAGCTTGCAGCAATTTGCAATGAATGGCACAGCCACATCATATACAATGACAAAGAAGGGTCTAAAGGATTCTTGTCATGGTGGGTTATAATTATTATCATCTTATTGCTAAAATTTATAAGTAGTCATTGAAAATGATGATAAAGTCGTAAAAAAGAAACAATTAACAACAAAAACATCAAGCCTTTATCCCACTACATGGGGTTGACTACATGATTTCTTTTTCTCCATTGTGTCATGTTAAGAGTCAAATTCTCATTTAAATCTAATAAAGAAAGGTCATTTCTAATATTTTCTAACCAAGTCTTTTTAGGTCTACCTCTACATTTCTTAACATAAGCCAAATCTAATACATCTATTCTACTAACCAGGTAATCGGAAAGCCACCATTTTATGTGACCAAACCATCTAAGGTGACTCTCTCTAATCTTATCTTCCACTAGAGCTACTCCAACCTTTTCACATATATGCTCGTTTCGCATCCTGCAAGAGCTGTTACTTGTGTCCAATCACAAGATGCTTTGACAATATTTGACCAAGATTTTTCTTATTTCAGTTGGATTACATCAAGAAAAGAACAACTAACATGAAAAATAAATAAAATACATTGGATCATAATAATTTGAAATACAACCGATTATGATCCATCCATGAGAAGAAAAGCAATGCCACATTCAAATAGCACCTACATCCAAAATGCCAAATTCATTGGGACAGTTGCTGCACCGAGCTTGAAATCTAAAAATTTCAGTGAGTGAAGATAATGTGTAATGTTGGATTTACTGGATTCAAAGCTTGCCTTCATTAGGTTAAAAACTCAAATTCTTTCTAAAATAACTTACCATATCAATGGTATCTTAATGAGATTGCTCAAATGAACTCCCTATTTTGTGCCAAGCGGGATCACCCAGTGCGCTTGCATGATATCTTAATGTAGTTATCATGGACAATTCTGAACCATATCATCTTATTCTCTCTAGCTTCAATATACGATCAACTTCTTAAATTATATGCATTTACAATTAACATAACAATGGATATGTCTAAACATTTCAAGAAGAAAATATGGCAGGGGTTAGAAAAATATGTTTACTGTTGCAAAGTGGAGTTCAAGAACATTTCTATTTGTTCAAATTGTAGACTGCATAGGCATAGTTACTACAAGTACTGAAGACTTTATTTAGACCTAAAAAATATGAAACAGAACTGAAAAATGCTCCCATTTAGTCCTTTGAATATAAAAATTTATCCAAAATAGTCCATTTGGCCAACTTAGTTATCGAGTATCTTGTTGCTCCAATTTAGTCCTTCCAATATACAAATTTATCCAAAATTGTCCATTTAGGAATATATTGATATCAATTTTCTATAGTCCAAAGACTAAATTGAGACCAATTTTATATCACAATTACAACACGAGGAACATTAACAATTTAGAACAATTTTTAATCGAGTGATTTAAGAGGAGAAACATAATACTTTGGAACTAAATTGACCACACACAAATAGCTTGGAGATAGGGGTGTAATTGAGCCGAGCCGGCTCGAGCTCGACTATTTAACGAGCTCGAGCCTATACTCGAGCTCATATATTAAACGAGTTCGAGCTCAAGCTCAAGCCTGGCTCTTCTCGAAAGCTCGTTGAGCTGCTCTATTAAATTAAAATGTATTTAATAATTATGTGTAACTGAGCCGAGCTGGCTCAAGCTCGACTATTTAACGAGCTCGAGCCTATACTCGAGCTCATATATTAAACGAGTTCGAGCTCAAGCTCAAGTCTGGCTCTTCTCGAAAGCTCGTTGAGCCGCTCTATTAAATTAAAATGTATTTAATAATTAATTTAAATTAATATTATAAAATATATTTTAATAATTTAAAATTAATTATATATCAAAAGAATAAAAGTTCTAAGAAAAATTGAATTTTTTAATTTAAAATTAAGAAATTGAGCTAAAGAATCGAGTCAAGCTTGAGCTCAAGTTTAGTAATAGTTAAACAAGCTTAGCTCGATTAAGGAGATACTCGACTACTTTACACCACTAACTAGAGACAATTTTGAATTTTTTTAATAAAAAATTATTTTTACGATGACAAACATATTTGATTTTAAATCAAAATTTAAATAAGATAAAATAAAAATAAAAATTAAAGTGAACCAAAATGGTCCCTTAAAGTTTATAGTTAAGAATCAATGATGATGATGTGTGATAATCAAGCTACTATAAACATTGCTTAAAAAAAACTACCTACCATAATAGGCCTAAGTAAAATGAAATTGATAGACTCTTTATTAAAAAGAAAGTAAATAATAAATTATCAATTATTTACTCTCAAACCAAATATCAAGATACTAATATCCTTAATAAAGATCTTTACCATTTACATATGACACTCTTATATTCAAGTTAGGATGATCAACATATATTCCTAGCTTGAAGGATAGTACAAAAATTTTAGAATCCTATACACAAGCCTCCAAAGTTGAGGCTAACACTCCAAAAATTCAAGAACAATTCTGGAAGCATTGAAGATTGCAACCAGTATATCATCAGTCCTAGATTTTATTCCACTAGTCACCCTGCACAATTCCAATCATTCAATTACTCCAAAAAGTTTACCAGTTTAAGACCAAAGTTTGTCCAGCCAACAAACCTCAGAATTCCATTCTAGGAGGATCCGTTAGCTCTTCAATCCAACGAGATCCAATTTTTCCATATTCTGCTGATTTCTTCTTTACAGTTGGAGGGTAATAAAATCATGCTTCTACTCCAGGATTGGTATAACTAATTATGCTTGAATAATCTCTATTTTTCCTAGGCTGATTATAGCATTATTTTGTTTTACTTATTATTCTAAGGCCACTAATTGGGCTATATATTTCTTCTAAAATCTATATTAATTCTATCTAATGGAATAAGAAAAATGAAGTACTTTTCATATCCTATTCTTCAACATGGACAACTAAACATAAACTTACCATTTAACCCACATTTATAACTGATTTCTATATGATTACTATTCTTTTTTAAAATCTTCTAAAATGCTGCGTTGTTTCAATTGGAGATGCAACGCCATAGGCATCAGAAAAACGATCTAGCAAACTTTGCACAGTTCGGTAAATCTTTCGAAAGTCGGTGAAAACGAACCTGAAGTTTAAATGCATTCCCAACAGCTGACAATATTGGGCCCCACATACCAAGGGCTCCATGAGGTCTTTGATTTGGAGAAGTCTCTAGAGATAGTTTCAACCTTATCTCTGAAACATCTATCAAGCTGAAATAAAAATATATACAAATCAGCCTGACATGTTGTTAACCAACCATTCATTTAATACATCAAATAAGAAAAATAAGAATTTAAAGCTAAGTATACATATATTAAACTGCAATCTTCACAACTCAATCTTGACAAAAACTATAGAGAAATTTAAATTTGTACTGACTTAAGAGAGAAAATGCTAGATATACCCATTTTCTTTGAAGTTCTGCTATTAGATTGGATAAGGAATGATCCACAGAAAAAGTAATTTTAAATAATTTTATTTCATATAAAGTGCAATACTATAACTAAAAAATAATATAAGCACAACGAGAATTATTTAGAATTGCCATAGATTAAAGAAAAATACAAAAGAACAAATACATAAAACTAGAAGCTAAAGGATGATATGCTCAACAATACTGAAAAAACAACAAATGACAGAAAGAGCTCATATGGATCATCTTACTTGATGCTTGTTGCAAATAAGAGAGCCATAATATATTTTTTGCTTACTATGACCTCCTCTGGTAAATAGGATTTGAAAACTCCCAAAAATTTATTTAAATGCCCTCTTGCATTTGAATGTTAGATTATCTCAGATTCGAATGAGCCTTGAAACAATAGGAGAAATTGTTCCCAACAAGTTTACATGAAGAACAATATGGGGAGATGCCTTCAAATACTACATTCTACCAATAACCACAAGACTTTGATCCAATCCACACCTCAATCATCCCTTTCAACAAAATTGGCTACACAAGGTTTTGAAAGACGACCAACATCAACATCCACTTACAAAGATTTACCAAAAGTAGAATATGAAGAGTATTAAATGAATTGGTTGAAGAAATGCAATTGTAGCTAAGGAAAAGCTATCCAAACAAGGATGATTAGAGGTTCAATAGATGCATTAAAATGGGAAGACAACTTAAACATATGCATTGAAAAGCCATGGACATAGTATTTATATCTACAGAAGAGTCTTGCATAGTCTCTGTGGGCTCCGAAAATTTGCGCCCCTGCCTCTCCGCGCATTTTTTATCGACGAGGAGAGTTTTAACAAATTAAGTTCAGGGATAAATTTTCAGAAGGCAGATTATATTTTTAGATAAGACACTACCAAGAGATTTCACCCTCATTTTGCAAAGACTTTATGATATGAGTAATGGTTTCCCATAGACGTAAGCCACTAATGGTTTAATTAACCCCCAATAATGAGGGAACACTTTCGATTAAGGCCAGTCGTTAGATAGACACTAAGTACCCGACATATAGTAGTAGAAATTTTAGGATTTTGAATTTTGAATTTGTAGGGTTTAGAATTTGAAATTTATTGCTATACACTTAGAGCAATTGACGGGCTGGCTCTTCTATGCATTATTGGGTCCTTGCTACATCCGTTTTCGCCTGCTGGTTATTTTGCCGAGCCTTGGACGATGATGTGGCTCCTTTAGCAAGCTCCCCTTGGATGGTCTTCGGGCAACCAGGGGTTCGTGATTTCCTCTGATCTGTGGGATTTTTCTCCTATGTCATGGCTTTATGGATTTTTATCCTGTCGCTTGTGGGTATGCTATACAATTTAACAGGGGTCAGTTCTTTACCCAACACCTCTTTTTGTAACAAACATATATTAGTATTGATGTTAAAGTAAATTATGTAAATCTTTTAAAATTCCTTACCAAATGTTATATGTGCTCAATATGTGGAATTGAAACCCCAGTATGAAGGGTACTACCTATGCCCCCAACATCAGAAGCTCTGTTCTGTCTATTTTGGTCACTCCTCCTGCTATACTCTGAGCTACCCTAAGCACTATTCAACTCAGCCCACACACTCTTACCAATCGAGAGTGGTCGCTCGACTGCATTTCTAATATCTGTAAACATGTCTCGCATGCGAGTCGACCCCGCTTCTCAAAATTCTTTATGATTCTATTATTGTGATGTTGAAGCCAACAAAAATCTTTCTGCATTTACAAACATACAATATAAAATATATATTTCTGTTAGCTTATATAAAGAAGATATAATACAAAACATATTTGCATAATAACTAACCTCAAACTTTCTAAATCACATTTCCCGCACTTCTTTTGGGACTTTCTTCCAATAAAAATAAGGAGCATCATACCTGCTCCGTATTATGTCATGTATTTTAGGCGTCGGTTGTTTTGACGGGTGAAACCTGCCAAAAAATATATTAGGTGATAAAATATTTCTTAAATTTTATTTGCATGTTAACAATATTTTAAGTACATGCAATCTCTGATTTTAGTTTAAATATTAGTGCATTGCAGTAACGACATACAATCTCTGATTGATCATCTTTATAGAATAACATGCATCTATTGCCACAACAATTTATCTTTGTATATGTCAAACCAAGCTTAGAAATCAACTTCTTAGTCTGATATAAATCTGTAGGAATAATGTTATCTGTCGGGTTGATTTCCTTAAGCAGTCAAATGAATTGATTAAAACATTCATGGGGGACATTATATTCTACCTTGATGCTTAATATCTTAATAGCAACATATAACTCTGAGTGGTGCACCCTTTCCATATTGGTTGTTGGGAAGCATGCAATAAATCATAAAAATTTTGTGCACCCTTATTAGGTGACTCTTCTGTATATTGTTTAAATTATACTCCAATTGCATTATAAACTAAATCCTCAAGACCAGGTCGGATATTTTCTTCCTCAGCTATATTAAAACTTGTCGACGGGCCACATCGAGAATCGAAATGTGGTTCATACTCACAATGAGAAGTCCAATACCAATATTCTGATGTGAAGCCTCGACGGTATAGATTAACAATTACGTCGTCGGGGCTTAGGTACACCTGAATTTTATGTTTAGAACATGGGTAACAAAACTTTCCATCTGAGATGAAGCTGCGCAGTTGAGAAGCTGTCTGAATGAAAAAATTCACCTCTTTAATGAACTCTTCCATTAATGTCTTTCGTCATTGCACCAATCGATTATACGTTCAACTTCTTTGAGTTCTGATATCCATAATATAACCTATATATAATATGGATATATTACATAATGTGAAGGAAAATACAAATAGTCTTAGCTTGTTCGGAAGGCTGTCATTTTATGTGACCAAACCATCCAAGGCGACTCTCTCTAATCTTATCTTCCACTGGAGCTATTCCAACCTTCTCATATATATGTTATTTTCATATCCTGTCTATAATCAATTATGCCCAATGAATTACTCTTCGTCCACACAACAACGCCCAATGCATTCTTCTACTTCCACCATCCAACTTGAATTCTACAAATAATATTCCCATTTATTTCACCATAAATAGATCAATATTAAAAATGTGTACTTTTATTACTGACTTCAACGCCTAAAATCACAATCCCTCAACTAGGTCTATTACTATTGAAAATGTTGCAACTCGGGCTTACGAGTTTATGATTTTGATGATAGCAAATAATATTGATTAATCTTTTATTTCTCCTAGTATTTGTAGTGCATATTTGTTTGTGTTTACTAATATTTCAGGTACACCATGCATCGTTCTTTGAAGATTCAAGACTCAAGTTTGTGTAGAATTGGTTATATTAAATGAGATGTAATTTTCATTTCTTGAGTCGAGTCTTGTAATGATGTATGTTTGTTTGTTGATCGTGCACACATAGAGGGAGCAAAAAATAATTTTAAATATTTTAATTTTTAATACATCGTACTGTACGAACTGTATCGTACTATACGATCTAGTGTAATAGAAATTAATTAAAATATTTTTAAAATATAACTAATCGTACTGTACGAACACCACATCGTACTGTACGATCTGTTATAATTAGAAAGCCCACCGTCCATTAAATTAGGCAAAATTTTGAATTTAAAAGTTGTTCTAATCGTACTGTACGAACATTATCGTACTGTACGATGTTTAAAACATTGCCTAATTTAATCCTTTGATTATTCAATCAAAACGGCTTAATTTTGATATTTTGATCGTACTGTATGATCAAAAGAGACAATCTTGACCGTCCCATGCTCATCCTGGATGAACTGATTTTTTTGAACTGTTCATACGAACATCGTACAGTACGATGTTCATACAGTACTAATTGGACATCGTACAATACTAATAGGTCAATTTCTGCACATCGTACTAGACGATTTTGCGATCCTACGGTACGATATTTGACGGTTGAATTGAGTTTTTTTCATGGTTTAAAATTGCGCAATATGAGGCTCGCCTTGAGGCCCGCCTTTACGCAATTCCAGTAAAAAACGCCTTGATGCTTACGCCTCGAGTTTTTTTTTATGAGGCTTGCGCCTCAATTTGGTTGAGGCCCGCCTTGAGGCCCACCTCGCCTCACTGGCATGAGGCTTACGCCTCACGCTATATATATAAACTTATATAAATCTTGAAGTAAATGCCTGACATTGGACTCTATAGGAGAGGAGGAAAGGGAGAGAGCAGTTCATCATAATGATGATTCAAATGAAGAACCCCTTGGTGGTGACAGTGCTGATGACTTATGAGTTCTTATGTGATATGTCATTGCTATTTATTTTAGGAAATTTTAATTATATGTTAATGAAAAGAATACTGGGATTTGGGAAAGATAGAATTTTGAGTTGAACTATATTTCATGTTGTCTTACTATTGGAATATTTTGATTTCACTTCATATCTTATGTTTTTTTATGTTTTATATTATTCACTCATTAGTATATAAAAAATTTATCAGTTTATGTTTACGCAATCTTTTGATTTTGAGGCTTACGCCTCAAAACGCCTTGAGGCTTACGCCTCGCCTCACGAATGAAAAACGCCTTAATACCCGAATACGCAATTTTAAACATTGGTTTTTTTAGGATTTTTTAAGCCCTCTATTTAAGCACTTTCATAAGACTTTGTAAGAGTCATTGGCATCCATTGTGTCTTCATTCTTTTGGAGAAAACTTAAAGAGAGGACTTGAAAGGGAGAGAGGAAAGGGTGGAGTTTGAGAGAGGGAGAAGATCCTTGGAGGGGGT